CAGTTATCACTAGTTATTGTTGTGCCACGCACCAACCAAAGAAGCCTGCCAGCCGAGGCTCAGACAGGGGACGTGGCTTGCCTGAGGTCACACAGCAGGAAGGAGGCAGACATGAGATCTGAACCCTGGTCCAAACGTCTCAGAAGCCAGAGCCCTTTCTAGGGTCCCACCTGGCTGTGGCGCCTCCCTTGAAGCGTGGCCTGCCTGGCCCTTGGGTGCGGGGCTTGGGAGCTGGGGTGAAGGCCCGGGAAAGGGGGTTGGAGTGGGGGAGGGCAGACCGTCCTGGTACTGGCTCCCTGCCCCACTCTCGATCCCTTCCACCCCCTGCAGCTGCACCCACTCCCCACCGTGGGACTCTCACAGAGTTTTATGAATCATTAAAATGTACGCACAGACTTTAAGGAAATAACACTGGGCTGTAATAAGAGCTACAAAGCGACAGGATTCCTCAGAGAGCTCAGTGGTAAAGCTGGTTGCCTACTTGGCAAGATGGTTTTCCAGCCTTTTGCGTCTATTAGCAGGGGAAGGGAGGGACCGACCGGGGAGTGCCCCGTGGGCTCTGAGCAGCCGCTGGAGGCTCCTTCGGAGCAGCCTGTGCGTTTTCTGCATTCAAGGTCCCACACGGAGCAGCGGCCACACCAGAGCGTTGGGGGGGACCGTTACCTCCCTCCCATCATCTCCGTCACCCCTCTCAGCCATGCTAAACAAAATACCCTCTAAGTAGAAGCCTTGTGTTTGCATTGCAAATGGAGCTTCAAGATAGCCTCCCAGGTTTTCACCAGTGTGATAGAGAAGAACATTTTGTTTTAATTTTAGTTGCAATTCTCTGACTGTTACTATACCTAAAGCTAAGCATCTTTGCATTTGTGCTGGTCCTTGATATTCTTTTATCTGTGAATCACCTTCTCATATACTTGGCCCACCTTGCTTTTTTGTTCTGTTTTGGGTTGGGTCCTTTCGTTATTGGTTTGCAGGAGCTTTTATATGCTCTAGATGTCACTCCTGTTTTCGAATGCTCTGTTTTCTCCCATCTACCACTTGTCTTTTAACTGTAGGTCATTTTTTGACAAACAAGTTTAAACTTTTTTCATTCAGATATCTAATTCATGCTCTTTTTTGGGTTGTAGATTTTATGTATTAGTAAGGAATTATCTCCTACTGAACTTGTAAACAGTTTTTTAACGTTTACCTTTTAAAACCACTTGCAGTTTATTTTTTATTATGCTATGGGATTATGCTGGATAGAATGTTTTCATATAAATAACCAATTATGTAGATTTTATATATAGCCTTTATCATTTATTGAATATTTTGTCTTGCCACTGAATTTAAAAAGCCAACTTCATGATACACTATTTTCCATATTACATGGTACACTGCTAGATTTGTTTCTCTATTCTTTAGCTTTTTTATGGCAACTCACCACTGATTTAACTACTATAACTTTATCAGATATTTGGATATCTGACAAGGAAAGTCCCCTCATTGTTTTTCTCTCTTAACTTTTCTTGACCACCTCTGGAGATTTCCTTTCTCGGGGAAAGAAATCATCTTGTCATATACCATTACCAGTCTATCTGAGATTTCAACTGGGGTTCCATTGGATTTATAGATTAATTTATGGGAGAGCTGATATGGCTAGCTCTTCTTTTTTTTTTTGTGGTACGCGGGCCTCTCACTGCTGTGGCCTCTCCCGTTGCGGAGCACAGGCTCCGGACGCGCAGACTCAGCGGCCATGGCTCACGGGCCCAGCCGCTCCGCGGCATGTGGGATCTTCCCGGACCAGGGCACGAACCCGTGTCCCCTGCATCGGCAGGCGGACTCTCAACCACTGCGCCACCAGGGAAGCCCAAGAATGAGTTCATTTTTCATTTCATTTTATAATTGGTTTTTGCTAGTATGTAATTAGGTTATTGATTTTTTCTATGCTGATCTTATATGTGGCTGCACTGTTAAACTCTCTTATTGGTTTTGCCAATAGATTCTCTTGAGAATTTTCCAGGTAGATCCTACGGTCTGCAGCTAATCTCAATTTTGTTCCTTTTTTCCAGTATTAATGACATTTTCCCTCGTATTATAGTACTGGCTAGAATCTCCAACAAAAAGGTTGAATAGCACAATGATACTAACACTGACTCTTTTTATTTCATTATCAAGTGGTGACTATTACTGCAGAGTTTCAATGCCCTTTATCATATTAAGAAAGAACCTAATTTTCTAGCTGCTTTGTTTTTTATCTTGAAAGTATATATGTTGAATATTTTCAAAAGTGTTTTTGTTCTCTATGAAAATAGTTATGTGATCTTTCTTGTACTCTAGAAAAGCAGTGATTTAAACCGGTAGATTTTTATTCTAAAGTTGAACACATACCTGCGTTCTTGGGATGTCTCTTAATATACTGCCAAACTGAATTTGCTAATTTTTAAAAAATAAAAATCAATTTAATTTAAAATATAATACTATAAAAATGTTCTGTTCATCATAATTTAAAATGAAAAACACGGAACACATTCAATTAATAAAAACATAACATTTACATATTTTTGAGATTTTTTTAATGAAGGGAGAGAAACAAAAAAAGGTTAAAAACGAAAGTGGAAAAAAAGACACTTTCACACAAACATCTAGACACAAAGAAACTAAAAATGTGAAACTAAAGAAAAAAGACAAATTCGAGAACAAAGGCCAAGAGACTCACAAATAAACATATTCGGAAGACATATAGCTGGACATATAGATGAAAAATAGATAGATGTATACACAATTATAGAGAGAGATGGGGGTGGGGGGAGAGAGGAGGGAGAGAGGAAAGCAGAGCCGGGAATATACGCTGAGGCTGCAGTAAGGGTAGAATGATTCTTAGGCAGAGTGACCTTATGGGCAGCACCCCATCGTCTGTATGGCCCTCAGGTTTCCGTTCTATACGGCATTTTATCTGAGTGTTTTGCGCCCGTGTTTATGAAGAAGACCGGCATATAGCTTTATTTTCCTGAGCTCTTCTCCTTTGTCTCTTCATCTGTTGAAACATCTATTTCATTGACCAGCTGCATTGCTTTTGTTTGTATTTTATTAATTTCTAGCTTTAATCCCATCATTCTACTTTTTTGGATTGTTTAAATGGTTTTTAAATAGTTTCTTTATTTGAAAGTTTAGTTCATTTATTTTCAATCTTTGTTTGTTTTCTAATAAATGCATATAAGTCATACTTTTTCCTTTGAGTATTGCTGTGGCAGAAAAACAGATTCTGTAATATGGTGCATCTGTGATGGTTCAGACATTAAATAGTTCATACATTATATATTTTAATTTTTGCCTTTAATTCAAGAGCTATTTAAATGTTTTTGTTAACTTCTAGTTTTATCCTATTTCAATCAGCCTAAGTAATAGCAGCTCTTTGAAGTTTATTAAGATTTCCTCAACGGCCTTGCATAGGTCAGTTTTCCAGAATATTCCATTTGTGGTTAAAAGAATATATAATCTCTGCCAGTTGAGCAGAATGGTAATTAGATTAAGCTCATTACTTATTTTATTCAAATCCTCTTTTTACTTATTCATTTCTATGAGTTTTGTCAAAATTGCCCACTAAGACATTGAGGATCTAGTTTCTTTCTATTTGTAATTCTGACAGGTTTCTGCTCTATGTATTTTCAAGTTGTGCTTTAAGTGCAGTAAAATGATCATTAGTTACCCTGTGGATTGTTCCCTTTCTTCAGCATGACATACCCCTTTCTTTTTTTCTTTTACTTTTTTTTCTTTTTTTGCGGTACACGGGCCTCTCACTGTTGTGGCCTCTCCTGTTGCAGAACACAGGCTCCGGACGCGCAGGCTCAGCGGCCATGGCTCACGGGCCCAGCCGCTCCGCGGCATGTGGGATCTTCCCGGACCAGGGCACGAACCCGTGTCCCCTGCATCGGCAGGCGGACTCCCAACCACTGCGCCACCAGGGAAACCCCCCTTTCTTTTATTATTAAATGTTTTGACCTTGAATTCTATTTCATCTGAATTTAATATGACCATCTTTTTTTGTTTTATTAGCATTTTCTTTCCTTTCATTTTTCCTGGATTATTTCTTTTAGATATGTTTCACATAATTTGTACTTTTATCCAACCAGGGTTTTTTTCTTTTAATTAATGAATTTAACCCCCATCTATTGTGATGACTGATATTATTAGAATTGTTTGTTCCATCTTTTTTTTATTTTTGTGTGTTATACTTTTTGTTTCTTTCTCCCCTTTCTTACATTTTGTTATACCAACTACATTTTCTTAAAATTTTTTTCACCCTTTAAAAATACTTAATTAAGGTTATATTTATAAAACACTCTCTGTAGTTAAATCACCCCAAGTCAGACAACACGTGCTACTTCCCTCTGCTCCATTTACCAGTTTCCTAGAATTTTTATTCCGTGATCACTTTTTTAATTAAAGTATAAAGACATACTTTACATGCCCACATCTTAAGTGTACAACTTGATGAATTTTTCAAGGTGAACACATCCCTGCAGACAGGACCCAGAGGGGCACAGAACATCGCCAGTTCTCGATAAGCCTTTGTTGAGCCTCCCATCATTGCCGCCACAGGTAAACCACAGCACCACTTCCGTCACCGCCGGTCGGTGTGTGAAGTCTCTCAACCTGTATGTTTGAATCACAGTGTCTGTTCCCTTGTGTATGGCTTCTTCTGCTCCGCCTCACGCCTCTGAGACTCCTCCACACAAGAGCACGTGGCAGTGGTGCTTTCCTCGTCCCTTCTACAGGTGTGTCACGGGTGGTTTCTTCTACGATGGTGAAATCTGTGTTGGTCCCAATGTGTGGGTGTTGCGAACAACGCCGCCGTGAACATTCTAGCATCTGCCTTTTGGAACACGTATCTATGCATTCCTTTTGGATACACACCCAGGACAGGGCACGACTGTTTAGCATTTGAGGACGCTGTCACTTTTCCAGGTGGTGTATCACGTTGTTATTTAAAGTGTCTTATTTTAAACAGACAACACTCATTTACTCTTAAAAAAAATAGCTTTTATTGTTTTATTTGATCACCATTGTACCCTATCGTTTTTATTCTTGCTAGAGCTCACCACCCAGCATTTGTTTGTTTTTAGAGAGTGTCTATGGGCCTTAAATGGTTGGCTTCTTTCATGCCTGGAAATACCTTTATTTTGCCTTCACAATGCATGATAGCCTTGTAATACTGAATAGTTAGGCTTCATATAAAGTTATAGGTTCCAAGTGATTTTCACCCAGAACTTTGAAGATACTGCTCTACCGTCATGCTGATCTCTTGAGGGGCCCATCAGTCTCAGCATCCCTGCATTTCTTCAGTTTGGGGGGGAATTTCCTCTATCACTTCTCGGAAAATTTCTTCCCTTCCAATCTGTCTGTTCTTTCTTTCCAGAACTGCTACTTGATGGCTTTTACGATTTCTTACTCTGTCCTTCGTGTCGCTTGACTTCTGTTTCACGCTTTCTATTTCTTTGTACTTTTATGATAATCCCTCACTTACGTTTCCTAGAACGTGAATATTCCATTTTTCAGCCCATCCACTGAGCTTTTGTTTTTCCTAATTTAGCAATCAAGTTTTTAATATCTTTTTTTTTTACAAAGGCAATATCCTCGTGCATCTCTCTGAAGCCATCAATTATACTTATTCAAAATTCCTGTCCTGCTGTCTCTATAAATTTGATCCCTCACTCTTTTGTAGTGTTACTATTTAGAGAACACGATGGAAAGCCTTTCCCATTACTCATATCCAGTCTCGAATCATCACGCAGATTTGCAAACAGATCTGAGCAGTTAGCGGCACGGGTGCTGAAATGGAGCCCGATCAGAGGGGCTCACGTCAGCCGTGTCTGGTGAGAATAGTGGCCCCTTCGAACCTACAGACGCTTGCCTTCCACCCTCCTTTCTCTCCCCTCCCGGGCACTCCTTCTCACTGCTCCAAAATGGTAGCTCATTTCACCCCTGGTTTACAGGTTGGCTTGGGGCCCATAAGGGAACTGGTTGGTGGGTCCTTGGGAGTCAAAGTTAGGTTGAGGTGTCCCCCCTAGGGGAAGAAAGAGGAGGAGAAAGCTAGGACGTGTGGAAATCCCTCCAAAGTCCAAGGGTGGAGCCAAGAAAATAACATCAGTTGACCCATCTGCAGAAGGATTGGGAAAAACGGGAAAGCCCAGCATGGGCACAGGTGAACGTGGGAGGCCAGTAAGGACATTGGCCCCAGGTGGCGCCTGTGCGTGCTGCAGAGTGTTCAAGGCTGACCTTTCTCAGCCACCCGGGGACCTGCATGTGGGCTGGGTGGGGTTGGCCCAGAGCTTCTCAGTCGGACGGACAGAAACTTGTAACCCCGCCCCACTCCTGCAGGACAAGCCCCAAGTGCCACTAGTAGGATTCCCAAGTCCTCCCCTCTCTGGATTTCATGAGATTCAGGCTCTGTGTCTCCTGTTTCTCTGAGACTGGGATAAATACATTACAGTACCAAATTCACAGGCTTTGTAAACGGAGAAAACTCAAGATCCTCCTCCAAGCCCAGCCTTGATAGCTTTGCAACTTAGAGTTTCAGTCTCATGTGTGGTATAAACAGCTTGTTTGCCAGACCTACGAAATTCACCCACACTCCCTGGTTGGTTGAGTTTTCTTCCCCGAGTCTGTAGATACCCTTCATCACAACTTGACGAAAGAGTGGTGCTTTGAGGCCTGTTTCATAGGTTTTCTATTCTACAGGTTTGCCGCCCACTACTACCATTTGTCAGATCCACAAAGCAGTAGCGTGTACGCATTCCTGTTGGCTGAATTTATGTCGACGCTAATTCTTGCAGCTGTTACAAAAGGAGAACGGCAAAAGCAGGGAGGAGCACACAGACCCCTCCTCTCAGAGGATTCTCGCTCATCACAGTTTAGAGGCAGGAAGCACAAATAATGCTGCAAGATAAGAAAATAAAGAAATAAAACCACCAGGATGCTAACAATCGACAATTACTGTTCTTCCAAATTAGATACTGGAACTTGCAGAAAGCAGCCATATCGCCAGAAACTATTATTCTGCATCTTTAACCAGCAGACGACACCTCTACAGTCGAGGAATAAAGTGAATTCTTTTAGGTGAAATCATTCCTGCAAATGAATAGGAACCAGATCAGAGGCCAACGTGCAGGCTCCAGTTTTATGAGGCCATTACCAGTCCCTGGGAGGAAAAGGGAAAGAGCGATGAGTGACACCCCAGGACACAGCCAGCTTTGTCACCTCCCACTCACGCTCCTGGGACAGCCCTTCCAGGGAAACGGGGTGGCTGCACTTTGATTATTTCACAGCTGGAAAGCAGCTAAGGATGTGGCCTCAGAGCCATCATCAGCTCGTTCACGCTTGTTCTCTGAGCGCCGTCTACAACCAGCAAGCATCCCTCCAGCTCCCGTGTGCTAAAGGACACAGACGTGTTCAAGGAGAGAGCCAGAGCCTGAGACAGGAGGGGCCGAGACAAGAGGTGATAGTGCAAACCGCACCCCCAGAGCCCCCATCCTGCACCCTGGCCAGGGTGGACCTTCTGTTCTGTGCTTTCACTCCTACTTTCCGTGAGTGTCAGCCACGTGCCAGCACACACCCAGCACTGATGACACAGTGGTGACCACATGGCCTGCTCCCCGCCCTTCCGCTCTGGGGGAGGGGGTGTGCCAGACAATCAGAAAACCACACAAGTGTAGCGTTACAAATTATGGTTTGTGCAAGGGCTCTGAGAACATGTCACAGTCTGGGCTGATGGCAGAGTGTGGTCCAAAACTGTCTGCAAGGGGCCCCGGGCCCGGCTCCCAGAGGGCGTGGCATCTCCCTGCCCAGGCCTCTGGGGAGAGGTGCGATGCCATGCGGGCGGCCTACAGCTGTGGGCTGTGGAGGGGATCCCACGCTGCCCCTGGCGGGCATCCTTCTCCTGCCTTTTCGCCCCTCGCTCACTGTCTCCGCCCCTCCCCAGCCCCACCCCTCCCACCTTCCGTTCTGCATCTCCCTTGGCCACTTAGTAAGATGTGGGCTCCAGCAACTCACGACTTCTCTGGGCCTCAGTTTCCTTGTCTGTGTAATGGGGACAAGCCAAGTAGCTCAGAGAATCAGAAGGCTATCGTGCGGTTTCAATGAGTCAATACAGGCCAAGCGGCAGCACACTTTCTGTCCGTCCTTCCTTACGTCTCTGCCTGTGCACATGCCTTCTTGCGCAGGGCGGGGCTCTCGGTAGCCGACCAGGACATTCCTTGAGAGCAGAGCACGCCTCTGCTCTTCCGGTTCATCAGGGAGTCCACACTAGGCATTTCTGCTCTATGGAACACCATGCGCTCATACCTGTTTCCTCCGTGAACTCGAGACGGGCTTGACCTGTTTAAGAGGAGAAATCCAGACCCGGAGCGAGGGTTGCTGAACGGGGAGGCATCCTGCGGGGGGCGGCCCCCGCGGTCCCGAGGCGGCCAGGTGCGCCGGCGCGGGCGGCGGGGACGCACCTGCGCGCAGGTGCGCGGAGAGGAAGCGCCTCGCGCCGCCTGCTTCCCGAGCGGCCACTGCCACCTGACGGCCGGCCGCAGAAGTGACGCCGGGCGGGCCCCCACGCGGGGCCGTCCTTGCGGCGCTGCTCGGCAGGCGGACGCGCCTCGGAACGCGCGGAATCCCGGCAGGAGTCCTCCAGCGGTGCCAGGCCCCGGGCCCTGCTGCACGGGCGCTGACAGATGAGCGCGCCTGCGGCAGAGGAATCACCTCCGGGAACCGACCGCGGAGAGCGCGGCCAGTCCGCCCAGCGGCCGGCGAGCCCTGGTCCCGCGCTGCGCTCCAGTCCGCCGCTCGCTCTGGCTGACAGCGGCTCTGCATCTGAGGCCGCACCCTTCCGGGCCCAGTTGTCCAAGAATCCCCCGGGCCATGCGGGAACGGTACCTTCTGGGCCTGAGGCCGACGTCTCCCCGCGGGGACCCGGGGCTGGCGCGGTGGGCAGGCCTCCCCCAGCGGGCTCCGCCCTCCCCGCGGAGTTACCTTCGGGGCCGGGGCCGCCTTTCCCGCTGGGACCTGAGGGAGGCCACGCGCTGTCGGCGAGAGGCTCTGCTTTCAGTAACAGCAGAGCGTCCTCCGCCCCTTCCCTGGAGGGCTGGGGGCCGCGGTATGAATATGCCACCATCCCCTCCTGACTGTTTACTAAGGACTCTGGAGCGTAGGCATTTCCAAAGCAAAGAAACTGTTGACACCTTTTCTAAAAAAAAAAAAAAGCAGTCGGACCTGCCAGCCCGACTTCCGTTTATGTAACTTAAAGAAACTCAGAAGGTTCCGCCTGAACAGGCATTTCCGTGACTCAGACCTCCCCCCTACCTTTCCCGGCTGCTTTCTGGAAAGATCAAGGCCAGGACACGGACGGGGGTGTGCAGCTCTCCCTTCACTTGAGAGACCCAGCCCGACCCTCTGCTGCCTCCATGCCTGGGAGGGGAGAGTGAATCTCTGCTCCAGCGGGACCTGAATCCCACTCTGGTGGGTCCCTTGGCTCAGGGGATCCGTGCTGGGCTGACCAAAGGCTCCTCCACGTGTGGAAAACACGGAAAGAAGCACAGCAAAGTCTGAACGACTCAGAACACCCGGAGTACCGCCGGAGGAAATGGTCCATTCGCGCCCCGTGCACAGGAGAAAGGAAAAGAGAGCCTACCGAGAAAGAGAGGTCCCCTTCTGCTACCTTCTGAAATCCTTGTTTTCTTTCCCCGTGGGAGACTGTTGGCAAAAGAAGCCCCGGTTTTGTCCCCTCCCTGGGTGCATGTCCTCAGTGATGGGACTGCAGCCCGTCCTGTCACTAGAAGGGCAGGGTACCTCCCTCTGGCCCTTTGGTCGACAGGAAGTCACAAAAGAGAAGGTGTTCTGGTTCCCAGCCAAGGCCTCTGGAGGCCTTGCATGCTTCCTGTCTCTCAGAGATCTCTGGGCCTGCCTGCTGCAGGATGAGTCACCCAGCTGTCTCAGCTGAATCTCCGGATGTGCTAGGAAGCTGCATGGAGAGGAGTGAGGCGGCACATTGACTCAGGGCTGACACGGCAGCAAGCCCTGCAGAGCCCAGCTCAGAAGGGCAGAACCCTGCCACATCAGATCACGAGCAACACTGAGGGTTGTTGATGAAGGAAGGTTCCTTACGCAGCAACAGCTGACTGACACACCCACTGCCTTTATTTTTCTGCCCTCCTGGACCCACACGATGTCACCCAGCTGGGTAGCCACGTCTCTGGGTTATTCCCCCACTCTCTGCCTTCTGGGGCTCGGTGATAGGAAAGCATCCTCCCACTAAGGAAACTTTACAGACTGGGTAAAGTTTGGGTGTCCGCAGAGGCCGGGCTGGTGAGCCCTCTGCACTGAGGGGCAGCAGGGGGCTGCTGCTCAGTCCCCGGTTTTTTCCTGAAGATTTTCCTCCTTCTCTTTGAAACAACTGCTCTGTGAGTTGGCGGATTGGCTTCCTGCAACGGCTTCCATTCAGTAACCTCCTAGGGTGGACTCACCTTTTCCTCCTGGAGCATTTCTTCAAGGATTAGCTCCTCATTTGGGTGAAGGGGAGCCTCAAATAACTTCTTGAGAAATGCTCTGTGCAGGGTCAACCTCCTGAGTCCTTCTATGTCTGAAAACACCTTTACTTTGCCTGTAAACATTGGCTTGTTCTAGACGTCTAGGTGCAAAATTAACGTTCCTCACAAATTTAGAGGTGGTGTTCCTTTTCCCCCCAGCACCCAGAGTTACTGGTGAGGCGTCTGATGCCAAATGCATCCCCCCTGCACCCACCTTTTTTGGAAGCTCGTAGGATATTTCCATTATCCTTGATATTCTGAAATTTTGTGCTGCCGTCATGTGGGTCTTTTTGATCCGTTATGCTGGGCGCTCAGAGGGCCCTTCTGGCCTGAAGGCTCACGTGCTGGGAAGTTGTCTCCTATTATTACTATTATTTTCCTATTTCTGTCCCTTTTTCTCTGTCTATATTTTTGGAGCTTCTATTGGACAGACATTGTAACCTCATGGATTGATTTTTTTGGTTTCTTCTTTCATATTTTCTGCCTCTTTATTGTGCCATATTGTGGGAAATTTTCTTATACATAGACACGTGTGTAGACATAGAAATATATAAGTGCAGATAATAATTGTGTAATATTATATTATGTATAATTCATATCATACTTATATATAATATACATAATAATTTATATTATGTACAATATTTTTATATATAAATAAGTTTTGGCAACAATACATCAAATTTCTAAGAGTTCTAGTTTTCTAATTGGTTCTTGTTTTATTTATTCGTATTTTCTTTATTTAACAACTTAATTCACATGCCATGAAAGGCACCCATTTAAAGTAAATTCAAAGGCTTTTAGTATATTCCCAGAGTTATGCATCCATCGCCACAATTTTAGAACATTTTTTTCTCAAAAAATATCCTATAACCCTTAGCCATCACTCCGCACGCCTCCCTATTTTCTCCCCTGCTGCCCAACCCGAGGCAACCACTAATCTGGTTTCTGTGTCAACGTCTTCCTGGCTCTATCATCTGATTTCTTGAATCTGACTTCAGTGAATTAAGGACTTACAAGGGATAAGAGGTGATTAATTAGGCTGTTTCCTGCCCCAGGAGACAACTATGGAAGAAAAAGGCAAATGTATGTTGAAAATTAAAGGGTAGAAAATGATATGTTTATAAATACCAACAAAAGAAAGTACATTTGGCCACAGTAATATTTGGAAAAATAGAATTTAACGACTGAAGAGTTAACAAGGACAAAGAAGGATATTTTATGATAAAAAAATATACTCCGTTAAGAAATTATGAGTCATGAATTTTTCTGCACCTAACATCATAATCCTGAAATATTTTTATATGTTAAGATGCTTTTCATTGCAAGTAACAAAAACCACAACTCGAGCTGGCTTACATAGTAAAGGGAATTGAAGGGAATTGCAGTGCTGACTCTGGAGAAGGCAGTACCCCAGAGGGAGGGGCCCGAGACCCGGGTCTGCCCCTCCTCTGACATCCGTGTGGCCTTGGGAAGATCGTATTCTCATCTCCATCCTTAGCTGTCTCACCTGTGAGGTGGAGACAATGATCTCTCCTTTCTGGGGCTGTTGGGAGGAGTAAATAATGAAACTTCACACATGTACTGATTGTGTGCTCACCAGGTGCCAGATGCTGTCTTAAGCACTTTATGTGTCTTGACTCTTGTAAATTCACATCAACCCTCTGAGGTAGGAACTGGTATTAGTCTCATCCTATGACTGTTGTCTCGGACCGCTGACTAGGAAGCAGTGGGGCTGGGATTCTGAGCAAGGCTGTCTGGCTTCAGAGCCTATGCTTTTTCAGAGCTTAATTAAAATACAGTTTCCTAAAAACAGTGTCATAGTTCTGAAAGGCCCACCAGTGAAGCTTTGATGGATCAACTAGATGTAAGGCCATGAACAGGATACAAAGGAAAACCCAGGAAGCAGGGAAGCAGAAAGAAATGTGTTATCCTTTCTCTCAATGACCCAGCCTCTGGCCAAGGAGAGGACTGGAGGCCGAGGACGGGAAGGGGACGGGATGGTTAATCTTAAGGAGGCCTGACTGTGAAACTCTTAAACTTTGAAAACTAAGGTTAGAGGCATCCTCAGGGCCAAGTACATAACAAATGTGGCACAAGGGTGTTGAGGACAATAAACCTAAGTTGAAGCTGTGGGCAGCCCTTTCTCCTTCTTACTATCATATTTGTAGCCATAAAGCCAATTCCACAGTAAGGTGGGCGATACTTAGAAAGGAACGTGCAAGGGGCTGTGAGTGAATGGTCGGCAGGAGACCTGGACTGACCTCGGCCTGCCTGAGAAATGACCTCAGGCGTCTCCCTCTCATACTGTCCCCTAGAAAAAGCTAGATTTGCCTGGATGAGGGAGGACATCTAGGCTGAGTAAACAGAAAATGCGAAGACCCTATTGCGGGACTGTGTTTGACATAACTGAGGCACAGGGAGAAGGCCAGTGTGGCTGAAGCACCGTGAACCACAAGGTGTCAGGAGATGACCCCTGAGAGGGACCAGGCCACGCCTGCTGGTCTTGTGGTTGAATGTCTCTCTTTATTGGGGTTTAACACATTCACCCTACGGCCGCAGGGTGCTGTAAGTCATGGTGAGCAAGTTAGCCCTGAGATCCCCCACCCAGCCACCCAAATGATGGATACAGGATTCCTGTTCTGGCACAGATGACTTCAGGGTCCCTTTATTAGGAGCGCCTCCAGAATTCTATGCAGTAGGCACTGAGGGGTAGCGACCTAGGAAATTCCTTTAAAAACTTCGTAGCGATAAGAAACACAGTAGTATTTTTTTTACTTTGCTGGATATAAGCTTATTTTATTTACTTTGCTGGATATAAGCTTTAAAAAATAGCCGTCTTTCCTAAAGATGGTTTTATTTATTCACTCTTTCCAAAGACTGAGACATCCATCCTCACTGAAGACCATATATCTATTTTTAAGGTGGCCTAAAGGGGTTTGTGGAGTGGAAGTAAGAGTGGAAGTAAGTCCTCCACAGGGGTCGCCCCTGGGAGATCACACGGAGACTGGGCGCTCCCGCGGTGCGCATACCAACGTTGGGATAACTAGACCATACACCTTGGCACCCGCCCCTTTGCGAAGGGCAGGCGAGTTCCCACAGAGCCCAGGCAGAGACCTAGTTCGCATGCGCCGGGGGCGGGGCTGATCCGGGGCGGGGCTGATCCGGGGTTGGGGCTGATCCGGGGCGGGGCGAGGCGGAGCCGGGGCGGGGCGAGGCGGAGCCGGGGCGGGGCGAGCGGCCGTTGCAGGGCGTGGGCGGCACTCGGGGTCCTTGCTTAACCTCCGTCCGCTCTCCCGGAGCAGGCGTCTCCTCTTCGGGCAGGCCCGGCCCAGCCGGGAGTGACACCGCGGCCCTGGCGCAGCTGCCGCCGCAGCCGCCGCCGCCCTCGCGGGCGCAGACGTCCCCGGGACCGGCGAGCGGCGCCGCCCCCAACCGCCGACTGGGCAATGTCCGCGGCGTATCCGTGCCGCGGTCGCCGCCCGGGCGCCGGGCCCGCCTGTCCACCCCCGGGACCAGCCGCCTGTCTTCCGCGGCCCGCGAGGAGCTTCGGCGCCGCCTGCTGGGCCTCATCGAGGGCCACCGAGTGGTCATCTTCAGCAAGAGCTACTGTCCGCACAGTGCGCGGGTAGGCGGGCGGGGGCTTCCGGGCCCACTGGTCCGTCGCCTCCGCGGCCCCCCACCCCTGCCCGGGTCCGCTGGTCCGTGTCCGCCCGCTCCCCGGACCTCCGGCCCGTCCGTTCCGCCCTCGCCCGCGGACCCGGTCCGGAAGGCTACACCGGCCCCACCGTCCTCGGCTGGGCCACGCGGTCCTGCCTTCAGCCTCCGGACGGGCCTGCGGGCGAGAGCCGCTGTCCTGCCCTGGCCGCGAGCCTGGTGGACGTGGGCGGGGGATCCGGAGGGAAAAGGTCTCACGAGTCCTGTCCTGGGAGAAGAGCAGCGGGGAGAGGCCGGCACTGGTCCCGTCCCGACCGCGTGCCCCTGGTGCTCTTGGCGCCTCAGCGGCAGTGTGGGCCGGACTGCACGCGGCCCCTCACTGCACCTGTGTTGTGAGTTTGAGCAGTGATCCTCTGGAAGCCAGACCCATCTGTATTACGGCACCTTTCATATTTGAGCTGTACTTCACGTTACTGAGAGTCAAAATAATACGCGGAAGATGCACAAGCATAAACTGTTGGGATAGGTGCGTGAAATTATGATTTTCAGTCTTATTTTCAGATTTCCATTGACTTATACGTTGTTCAGGCAAACGTGTATCCCGCACGTGCACCTTCCAGTGTCTCTAGGAAGACCACACTCCGGCAGGAGCCTCCTGAGCCCCCTGGTTCATATACCACCCCCACCCCCACCAGGGTGACCACTAGCCAGAATTCCTTGTGTTTCCTTACGGTTTTGCCGCCAAACATATGTATCATTAAACCGTACTTCGTGCCTTTGGGCTTGTTTTGGTACCTTATGTTAAGTAGAATCATGCATTTGTATTCTGCACTTTTTTCCTTCAACAGTTACGTTTTAGAGATTGATGCATGTTAGTACCCGTAACTGGGGTTTGTTAATTTTCATTACTGTACTCTTCCCTAGGATGACTCACAACCACAGTGTATCAGTTCTGCTGTTTCTAGTATTTTGCTCTTCAATACAACATGGGTATGCCTATTCTTACCGTATGGCCCGGTGCACGTACACAAGACTCGCTATTTTAGAGCAGGCATTTTGAAGCTGAACGGCTGGCCCACAGAGGAAGCATGATTTCTTCCCTAACGAGGTGATACCAGAATGTTTTTCCACGTGGTCTTACCACTTACCCTGCCACTGGCAGGGTATTAACAGTTCCCATTACTCTACATCCTTGCCAACAGTTGATGTATTTTATTACTGGATTCTGGCGTTTATGAGATGGTATTTCATTGTGGCTTTAGCTTTGCATTTCCCTGGTAACGCTGAACATCTTTTCATGTGTTCACGGGTCATCTGAGTTTCCTCTTCTGCCAAACGTTCAGGTAGTTTGCTTATTTCTCTGTTAGGTTGTTTTACTTATTTATTGTTACTGATTTGTAGGCGTTCTTTATGTGTTTTGGATGCTAGTCGTCTGGTGATCTGTATCGGGACATCACCCAGATTTGGCTTTTCTTTTTGCTCTCTTCTCGGGATCTTTTGGTTAACTGAAGTTGGGAAGTTTAACATGGTTGACTATCACTCTTTTTCTTTTCTGGTTTGTGCTTTTTGTGTCTTATTTAAGAAACCTGTTTCTACTCTGAGGTCATAAAGATACTCTCCTGTATTAGCTCCTGAAAGTTTTAGACTGTGCTGTTCACACCCCGCTTCTTTAATTCCACCCGGACGTGAAGCTGAGGACGTGTGGGGATCCAGTTCTTTTTTCCTTTATAACTTGTCAGTTGTCCCTGCTTCATTTTTTGGAGAGTCCATTCTTTCCACGGTGGTTTGAATGCTCACTCATCACCTATCAGGTTCTCACATATGTGTTGGTCTCTTTCTAGCCTTTGTCTTCTTTCTCTACGTATTTAAGTAGTCCTTTGGAGCTTATAAAAGGGCCAAGCAGTCAGAACTGTGCCTGGCCACTGCTGTGTCGCTGGGGCCTAGAGTAGTAGGAGGCGGGTAAGTGAGTTGAGTGAATAAACAGCCTTAGATTGTTCTGGTCAAACCTTTGCTGACACAGAAACTCTTAGGACAGATGATTTTCTGTTCTGTGTGCGTCACCCCTTCCAACAACGTGGCCACTACTTTGAGTCCTGTTAGATAATTGGACAGCTCTGTTTACTGGAGTTTTTAAAAAATTGAGCCCAAATCTGTCTCCAAATCTGTCTCCCTGAAACATTTGCTCACTTTTGGAGGTGATTGTCGCTCCAGTGCACAGAATGTCTCCCTGAAACATTTGCTCACTTTTGGAGGTGATTGTCGCTCCAGTGCACAGAATTAAGAATCTGGCTTCTACTTGGATGGTAGATATTTCAGTATTTTCCCTGAGTGTTTTTCTTTCCTGGCCAAGCTTTTCATGCGTTTATGTCATTTGTCTTTACATGTGATCCTTCACTAAATAGATTGTGCAGTAGTTTGACCATGAACCGCTTAAATGTGTCACCCAGACTGGACACCGTATTCCACATCCCTACCTGTGCAGAGTCAGGTAGAGAGGTTTGTTCCTTTATTGGGCCGCTAATGTCATTCAGCAAGTGTAACTGGGTGCTTAGTGTTTTGCGCTGCAGAAATGAATAAACTGTGGCCTTGCCTCCCAAGAACTCGTGGTCTAATGGAGCTGTAATCAGCCACTTCTCAGGTACCCAAAGAAACACGTGTGCGAGACAGGTGCTGTGGGAATGAGAGGCAAAAACAGCTGCTTCTGTGGGGATCAGAAAAATTAAGGACGTGATGTTTAAGCTGGTCCTTGAGGGATCAGGTGGATGTAGGCAAGGAATAGCATCTAGCTGAGGAGTTCCTATAAGCAAAGGTAGGAGATGAGGCCATGAAAATAGTGGGGCTGAACACAGGGTGTATGAAAGGGAGTCAGGAGAGTAAAGTGGCAAATGGCCGAACTTCATTTTCTCAGCAGTATTGATATCTAAAAATGTGTGGTAGTAAGTGTGGACTTCACGATGTCAGACTTGTGAGGAGTGAAAGGGTCTGACCTGTGACCTGGAATCTGGCAACAGTGTGAGGGGTGGGCTGAACGTGCAGGCACCTGACCAGGCGGGAACTTCCTGTGAGCCACAGGCAAGACCATGGCCCAAAGGAAATAGTGAAAAACACGCCCTCATTTTTTAGCCCCTTCCCCACATTAACTGTAAGCCACGTTTTCCCCAACCCTTAATTCATACATCTGTGGATTAAAATGTATACTTCCATTGGTTAGCTTTTTTGTTCTGTAGTAACATACACGTAACGTAAGGTTTACCGTTGTAACCTTACATTTTAAGTTCGGTGGCATCAGGCACATTCACATCGCTGTGCAGCCATCACCCCCAGCCAACCACAGAGCTTTTCTCATCTTCCCCAGCTGACACCCTGTCCCCATTAAACAGTAACTCCCCATCCCTCCCCAGCCCCTGGCCCCACCATCTGCTTCCTGTCTTAGGAATCTGACTCCTCTAGGGACCTCATATAAACGGAATCGTACAGTATTTGTCGTTTTCTGACTGGCTATTGTAGTATGGGTCACAGTTCCCTTCCTTTTTAAGGCTGAATACTACTCCACTGTCTGTATAGACCATAGTTTCTTTATCCATTCATCCATCAATGAACAATTGGGTCACTTCCACCTTTTGGCTACTGTGAATATTGCTGCTGTGAACATGGGTGTACAAATATCTGTTTGGGTCTCTTTTCAATTCTTTTGGGCTTATACCCAGAGGGGGAATTGCTGGCTCATATGGTATTTCTATATATTTTTAATTTTTTGAGGAACCACCATACTGTTTTCCATAGGGGCCATACTATTTTAAATTCCCACCAGCAGTGCACAAAGGTTCCAGTTTGTCCACATCCTGGCCAACACTTGTTATTTTCTGTTTTTTATAGTGTTTTTGTTTTGATAATAGTTATGCTAATGGGTGTGAAGTGATATCTCATTGTGGTTTGATTTGCATTTCTCTAGTGATTAATGATGTTGAATATCTTTTCACATGATTATTGACCATTTATTAACGGACAGTATTTCTTTTGGAGAACTGTCTATTCAAGTACTTGATCAATTTTTAAATTGGGGTTTTTCTTGTTTGTTTAGTTTTAGTTCTCTCTCTTTCTCTCTCTCTCTCTCTCTCTCTCTCTATATATATATATATATATATATATTTTTTTTTTTGCAGTACGCGGGCCTCTCACTGCCGTGGCCTCTCCCATTGCGGGGCACAGGCTCCGGACTTGCAGGCTCAGCGGCCATGGCTCACGGGCCCAGCCGCTCTGCGGCATGCGGGATCCTCCCAGACCGGGCCACGAACCCATGTCCCCTGCATCAGCAGGTGGACTCTCAACCACTGTGCCACCAGGGAAGCCCCTAGTTCTCTATATATTTTATATGTTAATCCCTTATCAGATATGTGGTTTGAAATATGTCTCCAATTCTGGAGTTGCCTCTTTACTCAGTTGATAGCGTCCTTTAATGCACAAAATTTTTAACTTTCATGAGGTCCAATTTCTCTGTTTTCTTTTGCTGCCTATTCCTTTGGTGTCATATGCAAAATACCACCAAATCCAATGCCATAGAGCTTTTGTCCTATGTTTTCTTCTAGGAGTTTTATAGTTTTAGCTCTTACATTTAAGTCTTTAATCCATTTTTAGTCGACTTTTATATATGGTGTTAGGTAAGGGTCCAACTTCATTCTTTTGCGTATGGATATCCAGTTTTCTCAGCTCCGTTTATTGAAAAGATTGTATTTCCCCATTGAATGGTCTTGACACCATTGCCAAAAGTTATTTGACCTTATATGTGAGGCTTTATTTCTTGGCTGTGTATTTTCTTCTGCTGCTCTTCATGCCTGTCTTTATGCCAGTACTGCACTGTTTTGGTTACTGTAGCTTTGCAGCAATTTTTGAAATCAGGTAATGTGAGACCTCCAACTTTGTTCTTCTTTATCAAGAATTTTTCAGCTATTCAGGGCTCTTTTGAGATTCTATATGAATTTTAGGATGGATTTTTCTATTTCTGCAAAAATCACTGTTGGGATTTTGATAGAGATTAGATCACTTTGGGTGGGTAGTATTGAAACCTTAACAACATTAAGTCTTCTAATCTGTGAACATAGGATTTCTTTCCAGTTGTTGGTATCTTCTTTAATTGTTTCAGCAGTGTGCTGTAGTTTTTAGTGCACAAGTCTTTGCCTCCTAATTAAGTTTATTCCTAAATGTTCTTCTTCATAATATTTTAAGTGGAATTATTTTTTAAATTTCTTTTTTTGGATTATTCATTATTAGTATATAGAAAAATAGCTGATTTTTGTGTGTTGATTTTGTATCCTAAACTTTCCTAAATTTTTTATTAGTTATAACAGTATTTTGTACAATCTTTAGGAATTTATACATATAAGATCATTTTGTCAGTGAACAGAGATAATTTTATTTTTTTTTTCCAGTTTGGTTGCCCTTTATTACTTTTATTTTTTGCCTTATTTTTCTAGCTAGGACTTCCAGTACTATACTGAGTAGAAATGGCGGAAGTGGGCATCCTTGTCTCGTTTCTGATCTTAGTGGAAATGCTTTCAGTCTTTTTCCATCAAGTCTGACGTTAGCTGTAGTCTTTTTTATATGGCCTTTATTATGCTGAGGTAATTTCTTTCTATTCTTAGTCTTTTGAGTGTTTTTATCATGAAAGGGTGTTGAATTTTCTTAAACGCTTTTTCTGCATCCATGGAAATGATCGTGTGGGTTTTTTTCTCTTCATTCTGTTAACGTGGTGTGTACTACATTAATCTATGTTCATATGTTGAACCATCCTTGCATTCTAGGAATAAATCCCACTTGATCATAGTGTATAATAGTTTTAATACTCTGTTGAATTCCTATTGCTAGTATTTATTTTGTCGAGGATTTTTCAGTCAATATTTATGAGGGATATTGGTCCATTGTTTTCTTGTGATGTTTTTGGCTTTGGTATCAGGGCAATGGTAGTCTCATAGAATGAATTTGGAAGTGTTCCCTCTTCAAATTTTTGGGAGAGTTTGAGGAGGATTGGTGTTCACTCTTCTTTATATGTTCAGTAGAATTCACCAGTGAAGCCATCTGGTCCTGGGCTTTTCTTCATTGGGAGGCTTTTGATTACTGATTGAGTCTCCTTACTAGTTACAGGTGTATTCACCTTTTCTACTTATTCATGATCCAGTCTTAGTAGGTTCCATGTTTCTAGGAATTTATCAGTTTTATCTAGGTTATCCAATTTCTTAGTGTTAGAGTGTTCAGAGTACTGTCTTGTAATATTTCTGTAGAAACAGTAGTAATGTTGCCTCTTTCATTTCTGATCTTAGTTGTTTGAGTCCTCTCTATTTTTTTCTTAGTCAATCTAGCTAAAGGTATGTCGATTTTGTAGATCTTTTCAAAGAACCAACTCTTGGTTTTGTTAATTTTCTATATTGTTTTTCTCTGTTTTGTTTATCTCTGCTCTTATTTCCTCTCTTTTGCTAGCTTTGAGTTTAGTTTGTTCTTTTTCTGGTTAAGGTGTAAAGTTAGGTTGTTGATTTAAGGTCTTTCTTCTCTTTTAATGTAAACATCTATAGCTGTAAGTTTTTCTCTTATCACTACTTTCACTGCATCCCATAAGGTTTGGTGTGTTGTGTTCTCATTTTCACTTGTCAAGATATTCTATGATTTCCCTTGTGACTTCTTCTTTGACTTATTGTTTAAGAGTGTGATGTTTAATTTCCACATATTTGCGAATTTTCTAGTTTTCCTTGTGTTCTGATTTCTAGTTTCATTCTACTGTGATAAGAAAAGATACTTTATATATTTTAATCTTTTTGTGAAGACTTCTTTTGTGACCTTGGCTCTGATGTATCATGGAGAATGTTCCATGTGTACTTGAGAAGAATGTGTATTCTACGCTTTTTGGGTGGAGTGTTATGTAATGTGTCTGTTAGGTCCAATTGGTCTATTGTGTTCTTTCAGCCCTCTGTTTCCTAACTGGTCTTCTATCTGGTTGTTCTATCCATTTTTGGAAGTGGAACATTAAAGTCTTCTACTATAATTTAGTTCTATCAGTTTCTTTCTTCAGTTTGGTTAGTGTTTGCTTCATATATTTAGAAGCTCTGAGGTTTGGTGGATATATTTTTATGATTGTTATGTCTTCTTGGTAAATTGACATACAATGTCCTTTTAACATATAATGTGCTTTTTGGACTTCCCTGGTGGTGCAGTGGTTAAGAATCTGCCTGCCAATGCAGGGGACATGGGTTTGATCCGTGGGCTGGGTAGATCCCACATGCTGTGGAGCAACTAAGCCCCTCTGCCACAACTCTCA